CATGCTTAGCTAGCATTCTTATACAGCCTAGGACCACCTGCCCAGTGAGTGATGCCACCCACAGTGGGCGGGGTCATAGTCACATACTCCTCAGCCCTGTGACTGACCCCACATCCCCCTTCATTTGCTCAACTTCCTGGGAGTAAAAGATAGGTCTATTGTCATTACTTCTGTTTCTTCATCACTTACCTATAACTAAATTTATTCATCTTCACGGCTCTCTTAAAACAGCCCTACTACGTGAACTCATCTTAATTTTAATTTTATTTTGTTTTATTTATTTTTGTTTGTTGTTTTGAGATAGGTTCTCCCTGTAGCCCCAGCTAGGCTGGAACTCTCTATGTAGACCAGGCTGGACTCAATCTCATTGACATCAGCCTGCCTCTGCCTCCCACATGCTGGGATTAAAGGTATGCCACACCTCCAGCTTATTTTTTTTTAATAGTGCATCTATGATTTTAATTTTCCTTTAGATATATCTACCCTTTAAAACCCTGTCCTGCAAAGGAAGAAAATGGCAATTATCATAAGAGACACACAGAGGGAAAGGCCATGGTTACCAAGACACATGGTCTCCTAGGTGTCTTCTGCCCCTCTCAATGCTGCATCTTCTACCTGTTTTCCACAGCTTCTTGGTAAGACACCAAAGTTTCTCGGCTCTCCTCTATCAAAAAAGGCCAAATCTTTCCCTTAGTGCAACTTATTTCATCATCTTGCTTCTAAGGCTAAGGGGCATCCAGTTTATAAGCTGAGCTCTTCCTTGAGGCCCAATTTGATTTTCCAACTCCTGTTTGGGTACTTTTGCTAGCTGTTCCACCCTCACCAAAGGGCAACAGTCACAAGTGTCGGACCTCCTCTCCTCCAGAGCAGTAGCCCCTCAGACTAGAGATCCTTGTGTCCTTGAATTCTTCTCACCCATTCCTTCTTCTTTCCTGACTCTGCTCTAGCTTGAGATTGTATTCTCTTACTTCACTGCAGAACCCATTTTCTCATTATTCTCCCTCATGCTAGGCTCCTCTTACTCCCTCCATCCTATTCTATTGCTGGATGCCCTAGTCTAAATGTTTGTAGGAACCTGCCCCCTCTGATTTCTGTGTTAAAATCTAACTCTCAAGGTAACAGTGTTTGAATATAGGGCCCTTGTGAGGTGATTAGGTAACGAGGAGAACACGATGGGATTCATACCCTTTATGAAAGGAGGGGCTTGTGATCACGTTCTACCACATGAGGTTATAGGGAAAAGATAGATTATGAACCAGAAAGCAATCCTCACGACACAAGAAATCTTTAAACACCTTGATTTTAACCTTCCTAGCCTCAAAAACTATGAAAAATCTATTTCTATTGTTTATAAATTACGTTTGTTGATGGTATTTTCGACACAACAGCCTAAACAGACTAGCAGGTCAATCTTAAAACATAGTATACCATTAAGTGGTTCCCATGCTCAGCATCTCCACCTGCTGCATTGCCAATTCATCACAGTTTGTATTAGTCCATACCCCCATTTGAATTACAGTCACTTTGCACACAGGTCTTTAATCCCCTACTGGACACCAAAGCTCAGTGAAGAAAGGACCTGTGCTTGATAACTCATCTCAAATAGTACCTAGCACAGTGTTTTTCACAGTTTAGGAACTTAGTATTTATTGAAGGAAACACAGAATGAATTATCTCCTACCTCTAGTCTCTCTTCCTCTAGACATGTATTAGGCATGTCCACATCTACATTTCCATCAAAATTTTAATCAACCACTAAATGAAAGTAAATTATCATTCTAAGAAGTTGAAAATTAAAGATAAAGCAGGATGGAGGTTACTTTTTAGGAAAGGAAGAGGAATATAATTAGGGGAAATACAGTTATGTTTTATTTCTAAAACTAGGTAGGGCATAAATAGGTGGCACTATTTATATTTCCTTTCTTTTCTACATCTTTTAAAATATATGAAATAATAACAAAAAAGGCAATCAATAAAATATTTGCTTAAACATTTATCTAAGGAAATCCACTCTTCCCAGAAAGTTTTGTGTTTAATTGTTCTGTTGCTTCATATGTATTAGCTGTTGTTTTGTTTTAGGACAGGGTCTTGCTATAGCCTTAGTTAGCCTACAACTCCTATGTGAACCAGGCTGGCCATAAACTTGTGCCTATCCTCCTCTTTCTCTACTGAGTGCTGGGATTATGGTCCATACTGGCTAATATATTTTAGTTTTATTTATTAACAAAATTGCTAGGGAAAAAAATGCTTCCTCATATTTTGAGACAGATCTTCACTGAGCAATGAATGACTCCTTAGATTAAGAACTTTCTCACCCCTCCCTATCAAAGCATGCTTAAATTACTAATGGTAAAGTAGAGCAAACCTAACTGAAATAAATAAATAAAAAAGAAATAAAGCTGTAAGTCCTATTATAATTTAAGAATCCCCTCTAATTTGTCTCAGTTTTCTACCCTTTTAAAAAGGGCTGAGGTATTGTTCTGGGGGGAAACTTGCTGAGTTAAGGACAGGAAGCTTATTTATAAAGAGCCTGTTCTATGTGGTGCATAATGACCATTTTGACAGGGAATAAAAGGTCTGGGGGAAGGGTTACATTGTGCTTGTGAAGTCCATTAAGCCATTCTTTTTGCTAGCGTAGAAAATGCGTGTTTCAAAAATATTTTAAAATGCTAGAGAAGGTAGTATGTCTTTTCCTTAAGATGTTTACTGATGAATGCAAACTTTAATAAACAGGCTTTTTGTTGATTAAAAAATATTCATCTGATTGAACCTACTTCCCAGATGTCTCAAATATACAAATTACATACCAATGGAATTACTTATAAGTTAGTAAACAAATTGTATGTGCTCACTGGTTTTATTTTACTTTGATTAAATTCCAAACAGAGAGCTAAGAACCAAGAATTAATGGAGCTGTAGGACCACTTAAAAACAAAACCAATGCAGCCTAGCCTGGACAGGACAGCACAAACATTTAGGAATAACTTGATATTCCACAATTCTACATAAAATTTCAAAGTCACATCACAAGGAACTGTGCCCAATATACTGTTAGTCTGGTGAACAGTGCCATGTTACTACTGACAACAGCCAAAGGGCCACAGAGACTTACACAGAATGCCCAAAGGAAGCATAAAGGGCAGAAGGCCAACTTTCAAATGAAACCTGAGCGACAATACTGATATTAAAGTCTGGAAATTAGAGTTTGTCCATCATGCCTCTGTACATGCTTGGATTATTACTCAGAGCTTGGTTAGGTTACTTAGCATAAGCCTCTACTTTAGGTTCAATGATCTGGACATAAAACTTACACTTTGATATGGCAGTCTTAATTAACTCCATGGAAACATAAAAGATTCCATGAGGATTACAAAACATATTACCCTTTGCTAATTGTCAAGTTCAATTATGTTAGGCAACCACCTCATCAGCCAACAGAGTAACTAACTGCTGGGGCTTGTGCCTCACTGTGGCCATCTCTGCATATGATCATGTACCCACAGCCCTCTCACAACTGCAAAAGAGAAAACACATCTTGTTTCTTTTTTTTTTTTTTTTTTTTTTTTTTTTTTTTCTTTCTGTTTATTCTAGGCTAGCCTCAAGCTCACTTTGCAGCCCATGCTGGCCTGGACTGACATCACTTTCCTGCTTCAGCCTCCCAAGTCCTGGGACTGTAAGTGTGAGCCACCATGTCTGGCACAAACACATTTTGATTTCAAACACACATGTATGAGTATATTGTCTGCATGTGTATAAGTGAAGAGATCAGAAGTGGGCATCAGATCCCCTGGAACTGGAGTTATGGAAGGTTGTTAGCCACCATGTGGGTACTGGGAATTGAACCCAGGTCCCCTACAAGAGCAGTCAGTGCTCTTAATTGCTGAGCAATCTCTCCAGCCTCAATACTTTGTTTCTTAGAATTAGCCAAACTATGAGTGTCAAGTTCTACATTTGCAACCCGTGCATATTCTGACTTTGTTCCTCATGGAGTTTGATGGAGTTGAATCAGATAGCTGGGAGTCTCAGAGCAGAATTCAAATTTCAGCCACTCTAGCATCAAAATGCCATCAGTTTAATCAGTGAAAACTATAAAGACTTTGATGACAGAGTATAAAGGTGTGTACATGAGGGGCATAGGAAGGTACCCAGTATTCCAGAGAGGAAACATGGATGAGTTTCATTTCCAGAGATGAGCATCTTTCAATGTCACAATACAAAGTCATGTCCACACTGAAAACAGAATGGGCTTCTATATACGGGCCAAGATTCTTAATCTTGTGTTTCTCCAGGAAAACAGACTGTAAGCTCAAAATGCTCTGTGAACAAACTAAAGGCAATAGTGCTATGAGCTGGGCTCAGAAAAGATCAAACAAGTAAATTGTGAATTGATTAAAAGCAACAAAATTAATCTATTAATGTAACTATTAAATGCAAAGTATCATACATCTGTTATACTTAATTCTGAAATTAATATGTGTGTGTCTATAATGACTTCATGAAAAAAATGGCTTCAATGAATTTGGATTTGTTTTTGGTCTCTAATTCCCTAAAGAAAATTATAGATGTTTAAGTTTTAAAAAGCTTTTCACAGTTACCAGGTACTCTTAACCTAGCTAACTACTATAAGCTTGGTTTAGATAAAGTTTCAGATTTTCAGCCAAAGCATACTGTTGAAAACTCTGAAGGGGTAATATATATACAAAACAAAAGTCAACTGGCTGACTTTTCATGTTCCCCAAGCCCATAAAGGTCAGAATTCAAAGAAAACAATACCCAACCCTTAATACACATACACCCAAATCAAGTATTCCTGCCTCTTGTATATAATTCCAAGAATTCACATTAGCTAAACTGCCTAAGAGGGGGGTAACCCTCCCAAATGCATTCAGTTCAGTGAAGCATTCTTGCAAAGACTCTTGGGTTTCCCTCAGAAATGGAAGAGTGCCACTGTGCACAGTCTTTAGGAGAAGAGGGAGAGATCATGGAAAACATATTCTTACCATTCTCACTGGGCTCTGAGGGTTTGGACACTTCTCTGAACGGAATCATAACTGCATCTCCAGGCACCCGGGGACTTTCCACATACTTGGGCTTCCTGACAGGACCTGCAATGGGAAAGATCTGAGTGTGGCTAATTTTTTCCAGATGTAAACAAAACTGCAAAATGTACAGTGTGTCCTTACCAGAATCCAAACATGCCTAAAGGAAGATAGGCCCGACTCTTGAAAACACACACACACACACACACACACACACACACACAGTCAGTTCAGAACAGACACAAGAATGTCCAGTCTGGTCTACCAAAGGAGAACAGGGTAAGCTTGGTTTGGAGAATGTAAACGCTGACGGAAATCAAAGGTGCTCTTTTACGAAGTCTCCACAGCTGTTTTTACTGCGTGTCAAGTCAGTGATTTTGACATGTTCAAACCTAGACAGCTTGTGGTGGTAAGAGTTTTTGTTCTATTAAGTATACCATTTTCCTCTAACTGGGATAAAGACAGTTTAGTCACTTGGAATCTGCAAATCAAGAGTTGAGGATTACAACAGCTGGTATCTAGTATCAACATGCTGAGCAGCCATTGAACGCAGGCATCTTATCAGCCTGATGACGCATGGTAACTGCATGGGGCCCAGAGCATGGCTGCTTTCTTGGTAACTGAAAAAGCCACCTTCAGATGGGTGTGGCAGATAGTCCAGGTTGTGTCAGAGACACAAGAGATACTGAGAGTCTATGTGCCTCCCTCAACTTCAACTTATCAGAAGATCTAGAATTTTATTTTTATTTTTTATTTTTTGAGGCAGGGTATGGCTATGTTACTCAAGCTCACCTAAAACTGCTATCTTTCTGCCTCAGACTCTGGAGTACTGAGATTACAGGCATGTGCCACCACACCCTGCTTGGAATTCTTAATGAGACTGGATAGAACCCTTATTCACTGCTCTGGGAACGGACAAAGGTACAGCCACTTTGGAAAACAGTTTAGCAGCTACAAGTTCAACACAGAATTATGATATGGTCCAGCAATTCTCTTATGCGAATGTGTGCCTACACAAAAACTAGCATACATATGTTCACATTATAGCATTATCGCTATAAACCAAAGACCCATTAACTGATAAAACAAAATGTGGTGTAATCACACACAGGAATATAGCAAAATGAGAAGAGATGACATACCAATTCACAATGCAGCATGAATGAACCTTAAAGACATCATTCCACATGAAGGAAGCCAGTCATAAAAGACCATATCCGATATGATTCCTTTCAATATGCAACCTCCAGATCAGCAAACCTCCAGAACCCAGAGGTTTGAATGGTTGCCAGGGCTGAGGACATACAGGCTGGTGGGGTGATGACTAAGGACATTCTTTGGGGAACAACAAAATGTTCTAAAATTAGACTTCAGTGATTATTTGTAAAACCTTGCCAGCATACTAGAAACTATAGTACCAAAGACTTTAAATGGGAATGCCCATTCCAGCTAGGGCTACAGGGAGACCCTGTCTCAAAAAGACAAAAAACAAACAAAAAACTCCAAACAAATAAATGGGGGAACTGAATGGTTATGGACTAGCACTAAAGCAGATTGAAAAACAAAGAGACTGCTTGCTCTAGCTTCTCCTTTCAAGCACCACATTCCTTTTGGTTCAGAATCACCTGCTTGACCTTGCTACAGTTTTCACAAGGTCACAGAGAAAGAAAGTGGGGTGGACAGAGATCCAGGCAGCCTGCAACTCTCGTCCCCTGTGCAGCCTGAACCACTACCCTGCCCATGTTGGGTCCCCATTCTATTCTCAAAATGAAAGGGGTGATGCAGGCAGACTCTGAACATCCTCCTGTCTCTTCTAAATCTGAAAAAGTTATTCAAAATATGGCTTATGGTGAGAGATGCTGCCATCTAAAGGTTTACTGCAAAAGTATCTACAGGCCTAGAAAAATAATTCAATTCCCAGTCAACAATAATGCACTGCATCTTAAATAGGCTATGTTATCAAAGAGTCTTCTTTAGAGAGAAGATGCCATTTCAGACTTTAGAAAACACGATTTTTAAATGACTAATGCAGTATTTAAGTAGGTGCTTATTTTTATAATTTATTTAACTCTGTCAGAAGAGATCTTTTTGTAGTTTAATGGAATGGTTACAGGAATAGGGAAATATGTTCACAGTTTATGGGGATATAACAACATCCAGATTTTATCTAACACATGTATACAACTACATAAAAATACACTTAGGAGGGAAAGCAGAAAGGCTAAAGCATTTGTCCAGGAATAACAGAAACCAGGAAGAAGGCCAGAGTAGGACAGAAACAGCAGTGGGACAGGTATGAGAGCCTACACAGGTTTTTGGTTATTGTCAACTCCCCCACAGCAAAATGGATCACCGGCCTCTCTTCCCTCTTCATCTGGTCTCATACATTTAAAGGACAAAGGGGCAGCAAACTGCTTTATTATTATCCAATACTGTCAAGCAATCACAGCAGCAGCTTTACTCAGCTCAAGACACACCTGCACTACTCACCTTAACTTTTCAGGGTGCAGTCACAGCAGTTCCAGAGATGTAGTTCCAGGCTCCAAAACATTAGCCAATATTCCTTCAAACAATACTCTCTAACAGTAATTACTTTCTTAAAATGTGGATTATTTCACATGGACACATAATGGTTATTGTGAATGGTGGGAAAAAGGAATCTTCTATACCCTAGAGCCTTGAAAAGAGATCCAGACCCATCTGTTTTACTGTCTATAATGGAGCTAGGCCTAGTGGAACAGCCCTGTAATCTCAATCACTAGAAAAGCTGAGCCAGGAGGAATAGCTGGTGTAAGGCCAGGCCAGGCCAGACTAGAATAAGCTCCCAACCAGCCTGGTGAACTCAGTGAGACCCTATCTTAAAATACAAATTAAAGACAATGCTGAGGATATAGCTTGGTAGTAGAGCACTTACCCAGCATGTGTAAAGTCCTGGGTTCAACTCCCCAGTACCGCTACTCCAAAGTAATTGTACCACCAGGGGGCAAGCATTGACTTGTAAGAAATATTGAACCCTGAAGAGTTAGGATGTTAAGAGCAGACTGAGAAGTTGGTCAAACCTAGATTCAATCACTATAACCCTCTCTCCTGTCTCCCCCTCATTTAGGTCTTAGTATCTCACAGAGTTAAGAAAGGAGCAAGTGAGCCTCTTGCAACAAGGAAAAATCCATAAAGGCACAAAGGCCAATCTGGTTCTCAGGAACAATAAACACTGTCAGATACAAAAGGAGATCTAGACTACAACAAAGAAAGTACATAAAACAAGTACCCAGTGGTCACTCAAGCCAAGCATTTATATGCATTAATGGATTCAGTCCTAGTAACCGGAGGAGAAAAGTACAAAGCTCCCAATTTTTAGGTCAGGAAACCGAGGCTCAAGTAAGTCCAACAATTTGTTCCAGGCTTATACATGGCAAAGTATAAGAGAATTCAAACATGGGTCTGTGCAGTTTTGAAGCTCATGGACTGAGCCACCACTCAGTATTTATAACACTAGGAATCCTAGATTAGACCTACAACTCTAAACAAAGCCAAGGCACTAGAACTTTCTACCACATAGTTATCTACAGAATTCAACTATGGAGGCAACAAAGCTTTTATTCACCCTTCTTGTCTCTGATCTCCCCCAACTTTTACTAGCAGCTGAAATATTATGAAGTGAACATAAACAACTGTTCTCCAGCACGACCCTTTTATTTAAATTGCTTTTCACGAACAGCTGAACCTCGAGTGCTATAAAACAAGATACATTTACAGGCATGGAGGTTTTATTCTTTCCCCAATTGCTTGTTAGAGAACTTGTGCATACTTTCTATTAAACAAAGCAGATAAGATTGGTACACCTCCTCTCCCTACTGAAACACCATTAAAGTTACAGTAAATTGATCAAAGAGAGACCCAAGGGGAAAGGAGACAACTACAAGCAAGAACCAGATGGAAGTAGACTCTCACAGAGCAGAGGTCTAAGCAGAACAGAAAAAGATGAGGGCTTCAGAACCTCAGAGCTACATGGCCAGTCTGAGAGCACGAACTTGTGAGGTACAACAGCACAGTGGGCTGAATAATGATTAGAAGAAGAGTTCAGCCCCCAGAATCTCTTCCCAAGCCAGGAATACTCCCTCCACAACCCTAGAAGCTAAGCTTATTTCTCTAGGACAGTTGAATTCAAAGACCATGAAGACCATAGAGCTAAATTCAAAAACTAGGATTAGGAAAAACTTCTGCGCACAATGGTGGGTCCAAGAAACACACATCCCCTGCCCTCCACACAGCTGTAGGAATACTGACAGCCACACTTGTTTACCAAGGCAGGAGGGGTTCAGAGAGCTCCTCTCTGGGGAAGCTCAGCAAGAGAAAAGACCTACCCAGTATCATAGGTGGGACCACCCCGTAAGAAATGGCAGGTGCAGGACCATCAAGCTGTATGACCTACACGCACCTTTGATCAGCATCTTGGCACATTATACTTATGTACAAATAAGGTGCCAAGGATTCCCAAACAGACCCTACCAACAAAGGACCCTATCCTGCAAGGCAGTGACTGAAACAGTGTCAAAAGGGAACTAAGAAATCAGAAAACACAGAGGCACATCCCCCCAAAGAAAAGCCTACTACAGCCAGCAGAGGCGGGTATGCCATGACAAGGGGCACTAGGTCAGGGATGTGTCCACTGAGCAGGCTGCAGAGTGAGGATAACTGTGCCACACAGCTCTGACCTACTGCAATCACCAGCACTGGTCTTCCTTTAAACGGTCACATACTGATCTCTGTGCCATCCACATGAAAAATCCCTCTAAGTGCACCAGCCATATTCCTGAATACAGATCAAGACTGAAAAGCCCATCTCCCTTAAGCCATCCCACTCAGGGAAAATTACTGTCCAGCACCTTTCCACACCCAGCTCTGTTTAAAATAAAACACTACATCCCCAAACATAAGCTACCTGAAGTAAAATGGTTTCCCCCTTACATAAACCAAGAATAGAGACTGGAGAATAACTGCCCAGAGCGCATGGCATTCCTGCTGCTAGCTATGTTTTAAAGCAAGAGGTTCTGAAAAACAAGACA